AACCCAGGTCCTCTCACTTGTGAGGCGAGCGCTCTAACCAATACCCTGCAGGACTCCACAACTGTGAAAAACACTGTTTTAGGGACTTATTTCTTTTAAAGGAACAAACTTAATTTTTAAACGTTGGTTCGTTTTTTAAATATTGAACAGTCATAAAGATGCAGAATAATGACCGATTGGTTGTTTCGGCAGTTTTCTTAAGAGTGCTGTGTGTAACGTATTGTTCCCTAGAAAGAATCGCGCGTGAGCAGAGGTGGAAAATGCCGCTTTACCTTCTCCACAAGACACAACAAAGCACGATCTAAACCTGTCAAAGCATTAATAGTTTATCTGTAAGGAAGAAATAATGGCTGTTTAATATGGCTTGACTTAATGTATGCCTCTGTGATTTCAGACCAAAACAAAAGCCCTGAGTGTCATGTCTAGGAGGCACTCAAGTGGTTCATTAAATATTTAAAAAGGATTCAAAAACATTACACAGACATTAATATTGCATTTCATACTGGAAAGCTGAAGAGTTGGGAACATTTGAACATTTTGTCCAAAAATAATTGCTACACCGTTTTAATTGATGTACACGTACCTTACAAAGAGTGAGTGAAGGAACAGCAACCAAATAATGGAACAGTTGGACCAAGTTATTTAGCAAGGGGGTGTCATTCATTTGCTCATCAGCCATTTGAAAAGATGTGCCCAGTATCTGACAGACAGACTTATCAGACACCGGGTACATTTCTGAATCTAACGTGGGTTGTGATCCCCCTAAAAGTCAGTTAATGCGCTGCGAAGGGAGAGAAAATAGATTTATTATTTATTATTGTTATTATAGAAACTAGATTTACTTGAAGGATGGGAAAATTAGTTATTGGTTAGATTGCAAGTTGTTGTGCGCTCTATGGTGCTCAGTTATAAAGCTGCCTGACTTGTTACGACAGGAGCTTCTTATGTAAGCAATTCTGTTTAAATTTAGAAACTTCACGCTCGTGAGGTTAATAAATGCCGCTGTGTACAGAATTAGAGACGCAGGACGTACAGATCTATTGGTAGGCTCTGAGCACTGTGTGTAGAGCACACTGTGTATTTTGGTTGATTTTTTTCTTGACGAGTATGTTCTCGTCAGCAGGAATGTCACCTGGAGCAGGGATGCTTCCCACTCAGCTTCTGTTACCCTACAAGCCAAAGCCCTAATAGATAGGGGTGGTGCTGGCAGGATAAGCAGTGGAAAGCTTACCACGTAGTGGTCTCAAAGACAAATTACACGGTTTTAGCTACAAGCAGAATCCCAATGCACACTCCCAAATCTCGGCTCTGGCCAAACTGAGCCTAATTCTTTACCGAGCTTGGTAAGCAAGGTGCCTGCCTCCAGAGAAAAAATGTACAATACATTCCACCACAGACACGGGGAAATTTCCATGTGGACGGTGCATCTGCTTACAGATATGGAACTCTATCTCGTTTGGATACTCATATGTATGGGATACTGTTACCGCTTGTGTCAGATACTCAGCTAACCCTCAAAAAATTGATTGAAGAATATTTTTTTTCCAATTGTTCTGCTCGTTAATTTCAATTGCCCGAAATCCAAGACAGGAGAGAAACATGCAGCAAATCCCTCTGTAGCCGAAACTACATTTGCCGTGACCATCTCTGGAATTGTGAATAGAACGATGCTACTGTTGAAATTAAATTACTCCTACGTGCAGTGAGAATTTAAAGTTAAGTGTATTCTTTTAACTGCTCAAATGAAGTCCTCTCAATCTGTGGGCCACAAGGTGGCACATTGAGCTCGCCCGAGAGTGATGGGAGAGCTGTGTCATTCTTTGTTGTAATCTGATAATAGAAACACGCTAATAATTAATTAGTACCTATAACTGTGCTTGTTCCAGTGCTGATTTGATGTTATCCTTAAAGTACTTAGCGGATGGACCATGCAGAAACAAACTGAAAGCGTGTTGGTTGAGTTTCTCTGCTTTAAGTTGAGTAGCAGTGGACAAGTTGAGTAGCCCATTTAAGATCTGAAATTCCGCAATCTTATGCTTAAATCATTGTCTTAAAATGTGAAATTCTGTGAGCCTTGCAAAGTTTTTTTCATTCAGCCTTGGTCTACAAATTGGTTTCCTTCACGTAAAAAGAATACCGGTTTCCAAGTATCGACTCAATTTAAGGCTTTTCCAAAATTTGTAGATTCTTCAATAAAGGTTTTAAGTCTAAAATGGGGTTTGTCTCTCTGGAACCTCCAGTCACAAAGAGCACAAGTCAGTGCACAAAATGTTTGTCCTCTGTAATCGTCTGGGTTCGAAAAGTAATTAACTGCACCCCAATGATGATCAAGTGACAGGGCCTGTTGTCTTGACTCTTCCCACATGGACATCGTTGCAATAGAAGCTCGTGTCAGAGAGGCAGAAATTTCCCCAAAATGAGATGCTTCCATCTTGCCACCAATTTTGAAGAAGCAACAAGGCGTGAGTGAACATATCTAGGGAAATAAGACAATTCAATGGAGCATATTCCTACCCATCCCCTTTTAATTGCACTTTTTTAAAAAAAATTCCAACTCATGATCCCATTTCTTTTTTGTTTTTTAAAAAAAAATCCCTGTCCTTTACATTTGGCGCTCACAGCTTACAGAAGCAGAAAATAGATTCGTCTTCAGTCACTATTTGAATTGCTGTCACTCTGCCAGATTTGACAGAGAAGTGCTTCAGAAAAAGATTATGCCTGATTTGTGGAGTTCACGACTGAACGCTGTGGGACACTTAAGGGGGCGTAATGCTTGCTAATTCCTCTGCAGGAACTTTAATGGAAACTTTCACTGGCCATGCATAGTCGAGCTTCACAGTTGGCAACATCGCTTTTTTGCACTGAGCAGTGTAATGAAAGTTGTTGAGGTGAGGTAATTGTTGAACTAATATCAGTACATGATGGCTTAATACCTGTTTTATTATTTTAATCCTTAACCCCATCTGTTTCAGTCTCACAACATCTTCTTACAGTGGAGCAGATAAATATTATTGAACGCAAAGCAGTTCAATAATCAAGTATGCAATCAATAATCAATCAATCAATAATCAATATGCAATCAAGTATCTAGTAAATAAGTGACAGTTTTGGAAACTGCATCAAAAAGATATTTAAAACTTTTTAATATTATCAAATTTGCTGCATTCACTGAATAAAAGGACTTGTGGACAGTACAGTGATGAATTTCCACTAAGTTTTGGTGTTGCCTTCAGCAGTGGGTGTGCTTATAATAGGATTTCCCTGTATAAGTACACCGCCCACCAACTTTACCAATCAATGGGTTTCTCACCCTTCATCCTAATTTGTGAAGCTACAACAAATATATGTTTTTATTATGGAAGTGTGCTCGCTCAAGCAAACCTATCCCCTTGTACAAATGTTCCCATTAACATTACCAGTTTGATTGTTTTATCAATGCAGTTTCAGTGCACTTGTTTCCCCTTGCCTGATAAATATTCATCTTTTGGTCACTGGAGGAGAATTGGAAGCACGCTTGCTTCTGTATTTAAAAAACATTGTGATATCAATGCACTGCAACATGGGGTATTGGGTTCATGTGTTGTGGTTTCTCACAGCATTGATTTTCCAATCTTGATGCTCTTGTGCGCCTCCTTGTGTCCAGTTCCAGAGCAACCATTCTGTCTGGTTGTGCCTCTGCAAAGGGAACATGCAGAAAGCAGGAAAACAGACGCATCAAATTACCTGGGAGTGCAATACTAGTAGCACGACAAAACAAAAAGACTTGTGCCCTTTTCACACAGGGTAATGCTGTACATCATCGTAAAGGACTTATTTGCTTTAGTTTTTCTGAATTTAAGCCTTATAAAACTTGCATTTGATATACTTAAAAGGAATTATTCACATTAAACATTTCTTATTAAAAGGAATGTTCACATACTGCTACTTTGATGTGCAATGACTCGTCTTATTCCAGCAAACACGACAGCCTATCTGCAGATCCAGAGTCCCACAGACGACAAAGAGACGAATGAGCAGTTTAGCATCTTTTTGTTTAATTTGGATGAAGGAGGGATATTGGTCAGAACATCAGGAAAAATCCTGCTCTGTGAAATGGTGCCACAGGATCTGTTTTTGAAGAGTCAGCTCAACAGGTGCAAAGCTCTCCTCAGGCCCCAGTCAATGCGATTAAGAGCAGAAAGTCTAAATCAGGTTTCCCGCTCCTAATCGTTTTCAATACCGTTTCCCTTCCAGCAATAATACACTGGGCATAAGTGTCTCCATCTGCTAATCCAATTATGGATCTGTTGTAGCTAACCACACAATCTGGCCCACTGGGAGGCTGTGACAAAAACAAAATATTCTTCAGCAAAATATTCTCCCATTTCCACAAATTATTTCTATTGTGACGATTGCACATTTTTTTTTTACTGAGCACATTTTCTTGTTGTTCAAAGAAGCATTCTCCTATTTTTTTAAAAAAAATCCCACTTTTTTTAGCCACGTTTCGCCCACAGAGTCAATTCACTTTGCAATATATTCTGTCAGGTGCTTTGAGGCGTCTCAACAACGTGATAAGGCGCTGTATCAAATGCGAGGATTATTATTATTTGTCCCAAAGGTAGTGGCTCGTACGAGGATCATGTTCCTCTTCTCTTTCTCCCCGCCCATACATACCAGCTGGTGTATGGTATTCACTGCCATATTCAGGCAATCACTGTTAATGAATGAAATTGTTTGCTCGATGAGTGCTTGTAGCCTTGTCCAATATCAGCACCCACACTCGCCCAAATGGAGGTTACTGGTTAGGGAATAGAAGCAGGAAGTGTTTCTGTAATGTTTCTTGTCCTCCCTCCAATAGCTCTGGGAAGCTGAGGTCTACTTGTGAGTACCCAGTGTATCCTTAGCTGAGATCAGAAAACAGCAAAGATTGGGCTGAATGTGATTAAATATGACTGTTTGGTAAATATATTTTTACGATCCTGTTAAGAATGAGATTTTTTTCTTCTTCTGAAATACAGACTCGATCAGAATAAACAATTTGTTCACGATGAGATCGGCAAGATTATGGAGCGTGAACGGGCTACCGCGAATGACAGTCTTGTGAAAACGGTATTGCGGGAGAGAGCGCTGACTGAAGAGGAACGAACAAATGCTAAACGCACTGTAAGTCAATTGATAATCCTGCTTTGCTGGTCTATCTTCTCGTATCAGGATCAGAAGCTTTGGCTTAAAAACATTGTCGGTCAGTAGTCAAAGCGGGTTTAAGTAATTCTGAAAATGTGCAGCTTCAATTAATAGGAGCCACACAAGTAAAGAAAAAGCCCATTTCCAACTGCCCAGCAAATCACTGTTACTTCAACGATGAATGAAATCATCAGGGGTTCTTCCTTTGATTGTGGTTGCCCATATTGATTGCTGTATCATATTGATCGCTATTGGAACTGTGCCAGCAGACTTTATATATATCTTCAAAATACAGATTCATAGAATCATAGAATTATACAGCACAGAAGGAGACTAATCGGCCCATTGTGTCTGTGCCGGCTCTTTTAAAAGAGCTATCCAAATCAATCCCACTCCCCCACGCTCTCCCCATAGCCCTGCAAACTTGTCCTCCCCAAATAATTATCTAGATTGTTTGCTTTAGTAAAAGCAACCATAAAACTCTTAAGAGGCATACAATTATCTATTATTACAGTATCACATAATACCTGCCTTCCAATATTTACAAGCTATTACGGGACTCTTTTTGTCAGTCTGCATAAATGCTTTGTAAGACTAGAGTGAAATTCAAACCAAATCGAATGCCCTTTTGAACATTTTGCACTTTCCTTCAAGAAATGTCGTCTACGCTTGCTTGCAGCTTTTATTTTGTTTACGTTGAGCAACAAGGTGCAGGCTGTAGCAGAGAACAATAAAAATATTCTTTTACTTTCCCAGCAACCAGCCACTTAATGGGACTGACTGCAATAGAACCCTGTTATACTATCGTATTCACTGGGCATGTGTACAGAGAGTTGTCCAGCTTCCCACAAGCACCTGGGTACACAGGTTATCTACCTTGAAAACGAGCCACCTTTATAAAGTTTGCCTTGTAATGGGGTTCTACTGTATCTTCCAATGCTTAATACATTTTCCTCCACCTCTGCAACATCGCCCGGCTCCACCACTGTCTCACACCGCAAGCAGCCGAGACTCTCATACACGCATTCATAACATCCAGGCTTGACTATGCGAACTCCCTGCTTGTTGGCTTCCCCAACTCCTCCCTCCATAGGTTACAGGTCATCCAAAACCCTGCAGTCCATGTCCTCTCCTGCACCAGGCTCCACGACCCTATTATCCCCATCCTCGCCTGACTCCGCTGGCTTCCCATCACACAGAGGATACAGTTCAAAATCCTGGTCCTCACATTCAAAGCTCTGCGTGGTCTTGCTCACCCTACCTCTGACTTCCTAACCTCATACCATCCTGTCCGCTCCCTCCGCTCAGTGGGCTCCAGCCTGCTTCAAGTCCTCCGCCTCGCCCACCCCACCATTGGCGGGTGGGCCTTCAGCCACTCTGCCCCCACCCTCTGGAACTTCATCCCACAGTCCCTTCACCTCGCCCCCTCTCTTACCTCCTTCAAGACCCATCTCAAGACCCTCCTCTTCGACCATGCCTTCAATCACCCACCTTCCCCACCTGCCCTCCATCCTCCCCGATTCCGAAACACAGATTGTCCAGCGCCTTGGAACGTCCTCCCGAGGTGAATGTAATTTTTGTTGTTTGTTGTTGTTGTACGTTTCCACCAGCCATTTCCAAATTTAATTGCCATTCTCCACAATTGCTTCACAAAGCTCTGCGTGATTCAAACCAAACTGAAATTGCAAAACCAGGTAATTCAGTGGTGAGCATACTCGTCCATGAGTTCAGCAAAGCTGTGGAACAGAGGTACTTTGCCACTACGTGATGGTAGAATATGTTTGTGTTCTAATGTGCTAAGACACTTTCTAACCCACCGTTTTCCACATGCTCACTGATGTCAACTTGTCATTACTTTATATAGAAATATTGAAAGATCATTCTTGATACGAACATTGTCCAAATAATCCTCACTAGACAGGGTCGTGCATCAGGACGCTGTTTTTGTGTGAATAAGATGTATGCTCTCAGTGCCCAGAGCCAGGTAATTAATCCACTGCAGCAATTACATACTTGATACTTCCATAGCACAGAAACAGGCTATTCGGCCCAACCAGTCTATGCCAGTGTTTATATTCCACACAAGTCTCCCTCCGCTCCTTACTCCTACTCATATCCTTCTACTCCCTTCTCCCTCATGTGAAGCTTCCTCTTACGTTGCTAAATACTAAATTATCTCACTTCCACCTGCTTTATATTCTTTCATTAAATCATCATTCCCGCTACATGACCAAGCCAAGCTTAAACGCTCTGGTATGCTAACCTGAGTGAGGAGGGCTGTATAAATGCAAGTTGCTGTTGTTGGAGCCTGACTTAAAGCAGTAGGTCCAGCAGCTGGCAAAGGAAGATTGCTTAAAAACACTACTTCTCATCTCAGAGTCTCTTCACCTCTACATAATAGCCCATCAGAGACCTATTTTAAACAGTCTGTGCAAGGTTTTCCTTTGTGTTGGCATGCAACGCAGGCAGAACTTTTAAATTTAAATGTTTTGGATCATACGATAGCCATCTCCTCCTCCCCCCACCCCAAAATGTGTGAGTAACCTGTGGAGAGAATCCATAATTGTCTCTCAGCAAAAAGGCTAATCTATTTTATCCTTCAGGGTTTTATGTAAAATGCTACTATCTTATTTTATCCTTTCAAAAATGCGATTTATTAAAATCATGTAATGCTTTGCTTCAAGAACTTTACTAAAGCAGTATTTGATGAATGCAATATCTGAATTATCTGAATTTATTTTTAAAAAAATCCCTGCCTACTCTTTTTTCAGCATTAAGTGTATTCCTAATCCTTGATTTTTATAGAGTAGATCTAGCATACCTCTGCTGTAGCTTCCTGTTGCCTCTCCTTTTGCTTTGCTCAGGGCAAGACATTATAATCGTTGCATTTGACCACATCATCGAGTCATCTCAATGTACTTCAAAGTTTACTGTAAAATGTAGTGACAGTTGCACGTATTTTTGAGTAAAATACAAGCAGCCATGAAGTGAATGACCAATTTTATGTGGGGAATTGTTGGCCTGGACATTGGGAGAACCTCCATTCTCTTTTTGAATTGTGCCATTGGATCTTTTACGTCCCCCTGAACAGATAAGCGAGACCTTGGTTTAACGTTTTATCTAAAAGATGGCACCACCAACAATGCAGTGCTCCCTCCCCCATTACTGCACCGGAGTGTTAGCCTAGTTTATGAACTCAAAGTCCCAAAAGTGGAGCTTGAACTCAAAATCTTCGGACTCGGCAGGGAGAATTCTTTGAACTGAGCCAAACTGACACTGTATTTTGAGACATATACCTGGTGTGAAAGGCGCAATATCAATGTAAGTTGGTATTGTAGACGATATTCTCGATGTAGGCTTCTTAATTTCATAATTAGACAGTATGTTTCTGTGGGAAAGGAAAACTATGGCCAATTGGCTATTCTGCAGACCTTTTTCCACCACATTATTCAAACAAACCCGCAAGTACTTATACAACTGTTGTGGTCATATGAAATGTTATTGCTGGTAATCTTGGCAAGAAATTGTGCGGTTTGCCCAGTGAGGGTATTGAGGTTTGAATGATTAGTCCAAGTTTGATTCCAAATCCAATCCAAGTTAACAGGAGGACAGTGGTCTACCACTGCTTGCTCTCCCATGATTGATTTTTTGCTGCCAACCTGTTATAATCTATAATGAGGAGAAACAATGGTATATTTTACTTTTACAGACAAGGTTTTCTTACGTAAACAACACCTTGTTATATAGCACCCCAGACGCAGGGTAGAGTCCCAGAGCGCTTGACAGTGGCGGAGCACCACACCAAGCTGGGAGAGGGGGGGGTGACTGTTGGCACGGTCGAATAAGAAGGTCATCAGGCACAACTTGAAGATGGAAGGATAGAGGAAGAGTGTTCCAGAGATTTGAGGTGTAGTGGCTGACAGCGTGGCCACAGATAGTAGAAACGGAGGGCACGAGGGACATGCAGAAGGCCGGAGCCTGCTTTATCTCATCTTCAATGCATAGAACCTTCCTTCGACTGTTGTTTTCTGAAACGTCTCCTAAAGTGCATTCGAGAAGTTGAAAATGTTCTTTGCCCTATGCCAGTCTATCGCAAATTACTTTGCAACCCAGATCAAAATTGTGGTTCATAAATATGAGCAATTTGCTAGCAATATACAGCCCTGTCACAAACAATAGCATATTGACATTACATCACTTGAGTCATAATGAATGATTGGTACAGTGAACACCAACCGAAAATCTATGGTTCAGGAATGTGCAGTGTGCTGCTTAATACCATTGTGGCCTAACGATCCAACATTTTCAGGTGGAATAGCTGCTTCAGTGGTTTGCAGAAATGAGCTGTCATTAAGCCATTGCAAGTTGGAAAATAGCTTTATTGAGCTGCAGAAATTTCAGGCTGACTTCTTTTTAAAAAACAAACTAAACGCAGGGTTGTCAAAAGTAAAAGTACTGTCAGGATGGTTCAAGACAGAATTAGAGCAGCATATGCAAACTGCCATTTAAATGTTTATCTTATCTGTCGCTGTATCCAGTATAATGAACAACAATTTAAAAGAAAAAGAAAGTTTTTTTTTNAAACTAACTGAATTCAGGCTATCAAAAGTCATGTAAAATTTGAATAATTCAGGTTCCAATCGGAGGCAAATCAATGTGAGGAGCGACAGGTTAGTGTTACTAAACTTCTAGTGTTTAAGTTTGCTCAGGAAGTGGCTTGCATTTCAGAAACTATTGAAGGGCAGCATGGATGTGTATATGTAATACACTGCACTGAGAGAAAATGGAAAGTGCTAAGATTCATCAGTTTTAGTGAAGTACATTATTTAGCTGTTGTGCACTGCCACACAAAGGATACTGTACTATTCATACAGTATGAGTCTCGCCTTTAAAAAACAATCTAATTGAGAAATGATTTACCAGCGATTACCAAACTTTGAGCCTAAAAGGCAGACCCGCTTTGCTTTCTCACCCTGGCC